GTGAAAGTGATTAAGAGACAGTGGCACTGAAGGAAGAGATTGAAATTTACTTTTGGTCTCTTAAGCCTGTTTTTATCATGTTCTGTTTTAAAAGCAACCAAGAAAGCAAAAGCCCTAGACAAACAGAAAAGCCCCACCTTTGGCTTCATCTAGAAGAGGAGACCTTATCCTCATCAGTGTTCTCTATATGTTAATCTTTTTACTGCTTTGAACACCAGTTTAGCTTACCTTTTATGTCCCGTCTGGCCCTTCTCTAGCCCTGTCTTCTTACATGCAGCTCTACAGCTTTCCTGGTCATCTTTGTCCATCTGCTCTGTGAGCTCTCCCCTGTCACCAGGTATTTGGCATTGTCTTCACACAATCTATTACTTAACAATTTGAGGAATAAATATTCACGTGACAGGAACTGTTTTATGTTCAACTGCCTCAAATTTACTGCCTGTTTCCATTCATGTGCCTGTGTTTTCCCAGTTTAAATTGCCAAGTATTTTCTTTCATTCAAGTTCCTTGGTGTTTGTATTCCTAGAGTAGAAACTGCAGGTACCCTTCTATGTAACGTAAGCAGCCACTGCAATTCTCTGCAGACTTTTGTAAAGTAGATTGTGTGGGAATGGTATGCATTATCTTTAAATTTGTATTCAGGGTTTTTTGGTGACTACAAAAAAAAAAAACCCCTTCTAATAAAAAAAGTGAGTTGGAATTATTTTCAGTAGAAGAGACCTGCATTTTCTTTTTTTTCCACCTTCTTGATCTAAGAAGAGAATAGTGCAAAATCTTCCTGGTTATTTTGTCCTGGTATTGGTGGGAATGCCTGTTTGAGGATGACCATGGTAATAGCAACCATGTGCAATCATTTTCTACTGCAATTGTGAATTGGCAGTTCACTTTTTTCCCCATACTACAGAAGTTAGTGTAATATAGATAAGGAATCTAAGGTTAGATAAAGCTAAGCAGCATTACTAAAGTATCTCTGGGTTGTGTTGTGATGTGTTTATTACATGTTCTCACCATTTTAGAAACTAACACTGAAAGAAAAAATAGAGATATATGAAACTTAGCTTTCCTTTTGCTGTTTCAATTAATGAGTTGATCTATTTCATAGATTCCTAAGTCTATGGCATTCACTGGTATTTGTACTGTGGTAGATACTATTCCATATTTTCAACTTGCTGCTTCCAACTGTTCATGCTCAGAAAATATTATATATTTTATAACTGCATGGGTACAGCTTCTTCGTACTGTGAGTAGTAGCACATGGAAATGA